CTCAAGCACAACTAGTGTAGATGAGGTGCGGATTTGGCATTGCGGATACGAGCACTTGAGCCTCAAAGGATTGAGGACTCTCTAGTAGAAGAAAATGGTGATTGGGTTACCACATTTCCAGTCTCCTTTGAAACTTTACAAGGATTGTCTAATAGGGAAGCAGAAAAGAGATTTGTTCCCAAAACAAAGCAAGTGGAGAGCATCACATATTCTCCGGTTAGTGCATACCGACATATGTGGACCAATCGGTCCCGTGTCCGATAGCAACAAGAGGTATCTCATTACCTTCATTGATGACTACGGTAGAAAAACATAAGTCTATTTCTTGATTAGAAAGTCGAAGCCTTTGATGTGTTTAAAAGATTCAAAACACACGTTGAGAAGCGACGGACTCCTCCATTAGAAGCTTGCGCACGGATAGAGGAGGAGAGTTTAATTCATATGAGTTCATTAGCTTTTGTGATAAAAATAGGATACACAAGCAACTAACAATCGCATATACGCCTCAACAAAATGGTGTTGTTGAATGAAAAAATAGAACCATCATGAATATGGTTCGTAACATCATGTCAAAAAAACAAGTTCCTAAACCTTTTTGGCCTAAAGTCATCAACTGGACGAGTATATGTTTTGAATCGCGAGTCCTACCTCGGTAGTAAATAATAAAACTCGAAGAAGCTTGGAGTGGAATCAAGCCTTCAATTGAACACTTTAGAGTCTTTGGTTGTATCTCTTACGTTCATATTCTTGATAATACAAGAATCAAGCTAGACAATAAGAGCTTGTGTTGTGTTCTCTTAGGAGTAAGTGGAAACACTAAAGCATACAAACTTTATAACCCAGCTACACAAAGGATCATAATAAGTAAGGATGTTGTCTTTGAAGAAGACAAAAGCTAGGATTGGAACAAGGGGCATGAAGAAGCCATTCTATGTGAAAGTAGTAATCGGGAAAAGGAAACGAGATGTGATGGAGGATGATCATGCTCGAATACAAGTTTGAGAATGACACAGCTGTAAAAGAGAATACTACAAATGAAGCATAAGCGAGAAGAACACTCCTCCAATTCTATTTCATGAAGGAATAGACACCCACCACTGGATGATGGACTATGATTCGGGAGAAGGACTTTTTGACTCGGGAGAAGATTTTTCTGAAAATGACCATGATGTTCATCTAGTCATGTTTGCAATCGGAGATCCCATTCATTTTTATGATGCTGTAAAAAGTGAAAAATGGAGGAAAGCCATGGATATAGAAATAGAAGCTATAGAGCGAAATGGGACATGGGAATTGATAGAGTTACTTAAAGGAGGAAAGAAGGTCGGAGTAAAATGGGTCTACAAAACTAAGTTTAATGAAAAGGAAGAAGTGGACAAGTATAAGGCCAGGCTTGTAGTGAAGGGATGTGCTTAGCAATATGGTATTGATTATACAGAGGTATTTGCACTAGTAGCACACATGGAGACAATCCGCTTGGTGATAGCTCTTGCAGCTCAAAAGGGATGGTTCATCTATCGGCTAGATGTAAAGTCTATCTTCCTACATGGTGAGTTAAAGGAGGATGTATTCATAGAGCAGACCTTGTGGTTACATTAAGAGAGGACATGAACAAAAGGTATACAAATTATAGAAGGCACTCTATGGGCTCGAGCAAGCACCACGAGCATGGTACAATCGTATAGAGACCCATTTTTTACAAAAAGGTTTTGTAAGGTGTGACTATGAGCATACTTTATTCATCAAAACAAGATGGGAAGGAAAATTATTAATAGCGAGCTTGTATGTGGATGATCTTGTTTTTACTAGGAATGATGAGTCGATGTTATCGAATTCAAGCGGAATATGAAACAAGAGTTTGATATGATCGACTTAGGGAAAATGAGATATTTTCTTGGTTTAGAATTTTTACAAAGAGTAGATGGGGTCTTTATTAGTCAAAGAAAGTATGCTTTAGATGTGTTAACAAGGTTTAGGATGGAAAAGAGCAATTTAGTTCATAATCCAATTATTTCGGGCTTTAAGCTAGCAAAGGATGAAGGTGGAGTTAAAGTGGATAAGACTCACTATAAGCAAATTGTGGGAAGCCTTATGTACCTCATCTGCTACAAGGCTAGACATGATGTATGTGGTAGGATCGGCCAGTAGATACATGGAGAATCCTACAAAACTTCATCTCTAGGTGGTAAAAAGGGTGTTGAGATACTTAAAAGGGACAATCGAACTTGAGATATTTTTCGGGAAGGGAGGAAACACAAGCTCACCGCCTACACCGATAGTGATTATCCTAGGGACATGGATGATAGGAAGAGCACCTCGGGTTATGTGTTTTTGTTACATTCAAGAACGAGTGTCATGGGCATCTAAGAAGCAATCGGTGGTGAGCCTATCCACTACGTAAGTAGAGTTTATTGTTGCAGCAATGTGTGCATGTCGAGCGGTTTGATTAAGGAGAGTATTGGAAAAATTGAAACAGGATCAAGAGAAGCCAACAAGAATTTATCGTGATAGTAGCTCCGCAATCAAACTATTAAGGAATCCGGTAATGCATGGACGAAGTAAACACATTGATATTCGTTTTCATTTCCTTCGGGATCCGAAAAAGTCGGCATTGTAGAATTGGTGCATTATAGAACACATGAACCGAGTAGCAGATATATCGACTAAACCTCTTAAGCTAGAGGTGTTCTTGAAGCTACGAAAAATGCTAGGAGTATGTTCGAACCGATTTAAACCGAAAATTACGAGTTCGGTTTAAGGGAGGAATTGTTAGGATTTATTATGCTTAGCATGCCCGTCATAATAGGTCTACGATATATGAAGTAGAGTTTAGGTAGGTCTCCGATATAATTTATTAGATCGATCTTGTAGTTGCGTCCTTTAGCTTCTTTCCTTTCTCGCTTTCTATTGTAAGGCTATATATAGCCATGCCTAAGCGTGTAATGGGGTGTTGACTTAAAAGGCTTTCGCGTATTTTTCTCTTAAATCTATCCCCGATAATACCCCAAAACCTACAACCACCAAATAAAAGAAAATAAGAAACATCATAAGAACTGATAAACCAAAATTGAGTTCGAGCAGTAGGCTTACCGACCAACATAAGTGAAGGCCAAATGGAGCACAAGAGCTTTGACTCAAATGCCGGAACATGAAGTGTGAAAGGCGGCATGGTATTAGTTGCCATTTCTTGATTCGAGTGAGGGGTAACCAAGCATCCTAAGGATCAAACTTTGTTAAGCAAACAACGCTCCTCACCGGACTACCCAAGGGCGTAATAAAACTTGGAGTTAGAGACAACTCGTAGGGTGGTTCTTGGGCTTTTCTTTGTTTTAGGTTCCTTGGCGGTGTTCGGTATCAAAAAGTGGTGACCTAGATAAAGATGGTGATTTATATTGAGGAGCATTGGTTATTGGAAATGGCGTTATGGGAGCCGCACCTATCTCATTTGCCTCGATCATATTTGATAGGTTTTTTTTTATGAATCTTTTGAAGCCTTGTAAGGGCTATTATATACATTTGTTTGTGTAACCGAGTGTAGGGGAAAATTTCAACACCCATAAATTTGGGTCCAAAGGAAGACCAAGAATGGTAAATAAATTCTTAGCATGGAATGACAAAATGACAAAGCAATCGGTTTGAAATAGCAAAGCAATAGGTCGCTAGCAATCCCGTTAGTTGTATGAACTAGTTGACAAAGTGAGTTAATAGAGAGATTTATTAATAAAATGCTACTAGGTTGGAGACCGATTTGTCATTCTATGAGGGGAAGAGCTACACGGTACAACTAAGAAGGACCCTCGATGGAAAATATGGGTAGGAAGGACCATCCTAGCACTCGGGGTGGGCTATGAGAAAATTGAATGAAACAATGACGGTTCGGTTAGAAAGTCAAAGCTGCAGGTGGCTTGACAAATTTGGCTATCCAAGTGCTATAAAGAAACGTAAAAGAGCGAAAGGTAGCTTGCTCGCATCATTTTTACATCGTATCGTCGAAGAAAACGACGACTTGTTATAAGTTCTCATTTTTGTTTCATTCTGTTATTACATTTTCTTATTTTCACCATCTTCTTCTCATTAACATCCCTAGAACCTCTTCACCATGTGCATAGACCACACAAATATTGAACCATTATGCTAACAAGTGTTTAAAGATGTTATTGCTTGAATGTCATCTTTTTGTTTTCTTAATTAAAAAGGAAAAAAAAAATCCATGTCTTCTTCTCGTTGGGACACAAAAATTTCTTAATTTTGATTGCCCACGACAAAGATGGCAATCGACCCACCCGGCCCGTTTGGGGCGGGGATGGTAAGCAAAATATCGCCCTAATGAGGCAAGGCATGAGATGAGGATAGGGTGACATTTTCGAAGCGGGAATGACCATTTTGCCTTTAGGAATGGTAATCTAACTAGGCCCCGCCCTAGCCCGTCCTGTTTGAAGCGAAGATGGTACGTGAAATATCGCCTCGAACGGGACACAAAGCGGGGATGGAGCTACATTTTCTGAGGTGGAGCGAGGGACAGGGATGGCCATCCCCACCCTCACTCTGCCCCCATTGCCATCCCTAGCCCCTGATGTTTCTTCCTCTGGCCAACTTTCAATTGCTCTCTTTAGGAATCCACCTATGCTTACCATTCCTGGACTATCCTTGCTCCACGGATGCTAATCTTTTGCCAATCACAACTTAAGTTCATGTCCGGATTGCAATGATCAATAGACAATCTCAATTGTGCTCAAGTTCATGTCAGCGCAATCCAAAAATAATATAAAGTGTGTTATGCTTATACAACATATGAAACAATCAATGATTTATTTTAAGGATGTGATGTTTCTGTGAATGAATTACACATAAAACCAATGACCATGATTTCCTTGTATGGATATTACACAAAAAGAAATATACGTAGTATAGTATTTAGTATTTATAATATATAATAACATGCATAACCCGTGTAGGACTTGTAAAAGCCAACAAAACTACAGTGACTCTGAACTCCAGGTTTATGACTTTCGATATTTCAGAGATTCAAAACGGGCAGCAAGTTCGTCATAATCTGGTAATTTTGGATGAACTCGAGGAACAGGGTCCAGATTAACATGAGATGAAGGCACTGGTGGTGGAGAGTGTTCAGGCGGCAGTCGATAAACACGAGCAGGTGGTTCTTCTGTTTCAATCTCTTCATCACAGTCTGCTTCATCGAACTTTATATCTGCATGTGGAGAGCTAGTGTTGTAGCTCTGTCTCCTAGAAATGTTTTCACCATCCATCTTCATTGGCCTCACCTCATTGTAACTGTGTCTCCGGGAGACATTTTGACCATCCATCTGCGTTGGTCTTGTCTCATTGTAGCTGTGTCTCCTACATACATGTTTGCCATCTGTCTGCATGGGTATTGTCCGTTCCTTGCCTTGATAATGAGACCTATCAAAACTCTGGGACTCATATGTCCTCCCTGGAGCATTGGAACAATGATCCATCCTCTGATAGTTGACCTGGGAATCATTTGGCATGGAAAGGCAAGTGGAATTGCCAGAAAGCATTCCAAATCCATGATTGATGCTAGAAGCATTCAACTTGTGGTTCAAACCAGTCACCAAAGGGACCTGATTCAGGCCGTTGTTGGCTAAATAAGCAGCAGCTTGGGCAGCTGCAACTGCTTGCTTTGCAGATTCTGCAGCTGCTTGAGCAGCGGTCGCAGTATCTTCAAAATACATGTTGCCCATTTCCCCTTCAATGATTGGCCTGGGTAAACAAGAAAATACATTGAAACAATGAGTAGAGATGAAATACTTCAGAATCTAAATCCTTACCAAGAATAGAAACGAAAGAAACAAATTAAAGACTTACCTAGCAATTGGTTGATTTGGCTCAACATGCTTGATTGGAGCTGGCTTAATGGGTAAACTGGAAGCACTGACAAAAGTGTTTGGTCCCTCCTGATGAAAAAAGAGCGCTCAGATTTTTAAAAGAAACAAGAATTTGAGCTTCTTGTGTGTGTGTGTGTGTGTGTGAGTGAGTGAGAGAGAGAGAGAGATGGAGAGAGAGAGAGGAACTCACTATCATCTCCTCTGGAGCCCTAAGAAGCTCCTCAGATTCTGTAGTATCCCATTCAATCTGGTGTTCTTTGGCAATTTCCTTCATGACTTTCAGCTTCACTTCACCAGTTGGAGTTCTCACAGATAGCTTGTCGATTAACTAACAGGAAAAATGGCACTTAATTAATACTTTCCTCGAAATCAAATTGGAAATTTCCAAAGAGCATAAACCTTCAAAATAATTGTAAAGGATCAGTAGTTCTATGCCACCATGTATAAGCTACTCAATGAGAGAAAAAGAGGTAGTGCCTATGCAGCATTAACAACAAATGATCAATTGAATTCCAAGATGTCAAAGTGCAGATGTATAACAAATTTTCAGAAGAAATGGTTGTGATGGCAACAACAGAAAGAGATACTTACCAAACGATTTACACCACTGTTAGGTCGCAGATCAGTAGCTGCAGACACAAAATCTTTCCCATACTTCTTCTCAAAAATCTTCCTGATTGCTACTAATTCTGGAATTTCTGAGCACCTTGGAGATGCAAATATTAAACTAGCAATCCCTTCTTTCAGGTCTGCTGGGCATTCCCTAAATATGTCAATGTCAAAACAAAATCAGAACTTGTACATAAACCATGAAATGCAAATACAGTATTCTATATTGCTCTCACCTTCGCTTCGCAATGATTGGAAGTCTAGACACAACCAACTCACAGAAGAGCTCAATGAACTCATTTGCAGCCAAAACATTCTGCTCTCTTATCACATGCTCAACCTACCAGACCATGAACACAAAAACTTATTAGTGAGTTATCTCAATGTATAATCATGTTGCAAGGGGAATTTAATACCCTGGCAAACGTTGTCAACACCTAATTTCAAATCCTGTATTAGATCACAGAATTGATGCAAAAGATATAAAATGGAAAGAGGGTTCCAAGCCTCGACTAACATGAAAACGCATCCATCAACTTTTGGAAACCATTCTACCATCAAGTAATATATGTCTGATTACAGGTCTGCTAAAACAAGAAAAATCTCAAGGTTATTTACAAATCAAATTTGTGTCATCCACAATCTTAATTACAAATCAAACTATTGTCAGATTAGATTAGAATGGACAGAAATCGTAATCCACGCCTACCAAACTGAGTGTTCTTTTGCATGATTTCTACTTTAAAAGCAGTTAAATCAGAAAAATACATTAAAACTGAGGGTATGGTTTTTCATTACGTACTGCATGAAAACTGAATCTAGACAGTGTTTTCAATTCTAAAAACTTGCTACAATTTACTACACACCCAAAGCTTCATAATAGCAACTAGTACAAAAGGTCGGATTATCAGCCACTTATAATCAGAACATAAATATTTTCCATAACTGGTTCTGAAAAAGAAAATATTTTCCAAAACACAATGTGCTCCAGTTCCAAATGCCATTTCAAAAATCATTGGTCCACCCCATGAATTCAATTCCCAATCCCCACAATTTACAAAAATAATAAAAATAAAATAAACAAGAACACAGGACAACACATACTTGTACTATGGAATCCAACTGGATAATAAAGAAACAAATAAGGCAGCTCCTTCTACATACCCGGATACGAGCAGTAGCATCTTGACCTGACTGTAGAAGCAAAGCAATGTCTCTCCTCATTTGCCTTACCACCGCCTCTCTCTTATTGCTCAACAACTTTATCCTTGCCACTGCCATCTTTGCCGCCGTTTTACTGTTACAACCCCCATCATTCCAATTTTTTCATAAAACCCCAAATAAAAAATCAGCATCTAGGTTCATAACAAAAGCACCAAAAACTAGACAGAAACCTACCAAAGATTCTAACTTTTCAAAATAGCAACAACTTTTTTCTTGGCAACCAAACAAAAGGGTTTTGAGTTTATATCAGAGGGCTCCATTTATTACACAAACCCCACAAGAGTAAACAACAAATTAGCATCTAGATTCACCACAAAATCACCAGAAGAGAAAAAAGACCATCAAAGATTCTAACTTTAGAGTAACAACATTGTTTTTCTCGGGAAACAAACAACGGGGTAGTAGGTTTACAGCAAATGATCCAATCTTTACCAAATAGCATCTGGGTTCATAACAAAAACTCCAATAAACAAAAACAAACCATAAAAATTCTCACTATAAAGTGGCAACATTTCTTTTTTCTTGAAAACTAAATAAAGGGATTGTGGGTTAATAAGAAACGTACCATTTTGAAGAGTTGAAGCGTGGACAGAAGATAGAGATAGTGAGCTTCATGAGCTTCTTGGCGTGAGAAGTGGCTACACTGATAGCAGTCATGGCACACTCTCTTTCTTGCGATGATTCCTTAAAAAAGAAAGCAAAGCAAATTAAGACAGGATTTATTTATTTATTTATTTATCCTAAAGGGAAAGTAACGGTCTGTCTGATTTTAGAAATATTTTTGTTTACTAAATTATGAGTGGGGTTTTGGTCATCAACGATCCATTTGATGCTTGAATGAATCTGGGAGGTTACATCGGAAAACTAGCCGTTATTGTAATTGAACACGTGGCAAAAATTATATGGGTCCCGTTGAGGAATCCCTAGGTATGGAGTGTTAGACACGACAATTTGCTGTTAAAACTGAAGAAAAGATGTTGGGCCAACAATTTGAAGCATGAGGGCATGGACATATAAATTGTAGCCCAACCTTGAATTGCTAAACCATTTGTATTTGGAGAGCAGATTGGACCGAAGGAGGCTAACAAGACTGGGGCCCATTTGTGTTTCGGGCTAGTGCTGCTTTTGTTCCAACAACGATCAAGAAAACCGTTGTCTTTCACGGAAGATGACGGAATAGAAACGTAAGATATAGAAGGAGCTTGTCACGTGTATATATCAAACAACAATGCAAATTGTCCTTTATAATCTCGTCCAGTTCCATACGACGAAAATGTGATCCTCGATGGTTGGATAGCTTTTCATCTATGCTAATCGTATGGTGAAAATAACTTGGTGTATGAAAGATCAATGGTAAATATCTGATTTAATGATAAAATTTGTCTCAATTCTATTACAATTTAATAATTTCAGACTTATAGTATTAAATTATATAATTTAAATCCTAAAAATATTAGAGATTCAACAAATATAATTCAAATTATCTAATTTTTTTTATGTGTATCGATCAATTAGATAAACCATTTATTAAAATATCAAAACGATGTCGTTTTGACATTCTCGCTATTAATTATGATTTTTAAAAAATATTTTTAACCTTCCGAATCTTGAATTTTTTAACTTTTTTCTTATAAAATATTTATAATATATTATAAATTTTATTAAAAAAAATATTTTATAAATATTTTTAACCCCTTAATTTAAAAAAATAAAAAAATTTATAAAATGCGATTGTTAAAAAAAAAAACGTAATTAACAATTCACAATTTCAAGCTTTAGAAAAAATTATAAATTAAAATGAGAATAATTAAGGGTTGATCCCCTAATTTTATAAATTTTATTAAAAAAATTATAATATTTTATAAAAAAAAGTTAAAAAAATTCAAAATTAAGGGGGTTAAAAATATGTATAAAATTTTTTTATATAATTTATAAAATATTTTTAATATTTTATAAGGAAAAATGGTTCAAGATTAGGGAGCTAAAAATATTTTTATTTTTATTTTTTAAAAAAGATATTTAATAGTAGAATGTCAAAATGAAGTCATTTTGGCATTTTAAAAAACGACAACGTAGTTGACCGTCACACATAACAAAAATTAGGCAATCTCAATCATATTTGATCAATCTCTAATACTTTGGGGTTCAAATTACGCTATTTAATATTATATATCCAAAATTATCAAATCGTAATAGAATGAGAGCAAAATTTACCATTAAACCGTAAGTATATACAAAACAAGTTCTCTTTTAGTGTTTGGAAAACTTTTTTGATGGCTAAATTAATGTACAAAGAGTGATGTTTGGCCTAGATAAACTTAATAGTATTTAGTTCTTAAGTTGAGTTTGTTTGAGAGAAAATAAGTTCTAGGAATTTGTTTTTCCCATTTTTCCCATTTTCTCCTTTTTCGATGTTTGTTTCATCTTTAAAAAAAAAATCAACAAAAAAATGATAGAGTATTTCTTAGAAAGTATTTTTCGAGTTCTAAAAGAGGAAAATATTTTTCCTCTCTCTCATGAGTTGTCTCGCACTCACGTCACTCACATCTCTCTTGATATATTTTAATAATTTTTTACTCTGTCTCTATTTTATTTAAAATATGTCAAATTAATTTTTAATTATTTCTTATCAATTATTTTTAATTTTTTAATTTTTTTTCTATTTCTACTATAAATGCATTAAATATTTTTAAAAACCACTATGACACCTTAAAAAACTTTTATAATAAATATTTCAATAATTTATCTCTATTTTTCTTCTTTTTACTTGTTATCCCAAACACCAAATAAACTATACTTAAATGATTGACAATAATTATTACAAGATTGTAATCATTTGTAAAAAATTTGAAACTAATTAATTCATTAATAAATACATATTTTCTCAACATTATTTATTTGCAACTAAATCAATAAGTTATGAATAATTTTAATCATTTGTAAAATTTTGTTAGTAATTGTAGTTAATAATTAGTTACAAATTATTCCGACATTAATCTTTTGAAACTAAATGTATGGTGAAAATAACTTATTGTGTGAAAGATCAATGGCAATTATCTAGTTTAATGATAAAATTTATCTTCATTTTATTACGATTTAATAATTTTAGACTCATAGTATTAGATTGCATAATTTGAATTTTAAAGTATAAGAGATTGAATAAATGTAATTCAAATTATCCAATTTTCGTTACATGTAACGGTCAACTAGGTTGATCGTTACATGTAACGGTCAACTAGGTTGATCGTTACTTAAAATGTCAAAACGATGTCGTTTTGATATATCGCTATTAATTATGTTTAAAAAAAAATTAATCCTCCAAATCTTCAACTTTTTTTTTAACGTTTTTCTTATAAAATATTATAAATATTTTTAATCCCTAATTTAAAAAAATAATAATTTTTTTAATAAAATGTTATTGTGAAAAAAACATAATTAACAATTCACAAATTCAAGTCTTAAGAAAAATTATAAATTAGAATGAGAATAATTAAAGGTTCACCTCCTAATTTTATAAATTATATTAAAAAAATTATAAAATGTTTATAATATTTTATAAAAAATTCAAAATTAAAGGGGTTAAAAATATTTATTTTTTATATAATTTATAAAATATTTATAATATTTTATAAGAAAAAAAGTTCAATATCAATGGGCTAAAAATATTTTTAAATTTTTTTGAAAAAAAAATAAATTAACAACGGAATATCAAAATAAATTTGTTTTGGCATTCTAAAAAATAACAACGCAGTTGACCGTTACACATAATAAAAGTTAGGAAATTTTGATCATATTTGACCAATCTCTAATTCTTTAGAGTTCAAATTATGAGATTTGATATTATAAATCCGAAATTATCAAATCGTAAAAGAATGGGGGCAAAATTTGCCATTAAACCGCAAGTATATACAAAACAATTCTCTTTTAGTGTTTGGAAAACTTTTCGATGGCTAATTAATGTACGAAGATTGATGTTTGGCTTGAATAGAGTTAATAGTATTTATCTTTTAGGTTGTGTTTGTTTGAGAGAAAATAAGTTATAGGAATTCGTTTTTTTAGTTTCTCCATTTTTCACTTTTTTTGACATTTTTTTCACATTTAAAAAAAAAATCAACGAAAAATGATATAGTATTTTTGGAAAAGCATTTTTCGAGTTCAAAAGGAGAAAAACATTTTTCCTCTCTATAATAATCGATACCGGCTAAAATAAAATTTTATAAAAATTAAATATGAAAAACATATGAGAAATATTTTGAAGTCAAGAAATAATTCACAACGACTTGAAAGAATACGTAGAGCTATTAAAATAGTTATTTGATGCTCAATGAATGTTTTATTGATTTTATAGTGCATGAATAGTGATTTTTGTGTGGGATAATTATTTTGAACATGTTGTATGTGCATGAAAAATGTTTTGTTTACTTAGAATATTTGCTAGAGGGATGTTAGATTATTCTATATTGTTGGATAATTTTTTTGGTATGCGGTGAATATTTTATTTGCATTTTATTATGCATGAATAGTAATTTTGAGGTAAATTAATTAATTTAGGTGCTTTAAAGATATAAGAAAAATATTTTAAAGGTATAGAAAAATCATTTAGGATGTGTAGGAATATTAAATAAGTTTAGATGAATTTTCCTACATATAAGGAATATTTTCTATACAAAATAGTGTAATTTCTACAATAAGTAATTAATTTGGAAGCCTAAATAAAGGTATAAAAATTATGTGAGTGGTAATTAAATTCTTTTAGCAAGTTTTTGAATTCATTATGAAATGAAATCGAATTTTGGAAAGGTTTAGAATAAAATTTTAGAGCATAGTAATTAGAAACCTAATTGCATAAAATTGAAAGTTTAAACTTTCAAATTAAATTAGATATGCACTTTAAAAGTCAAAAATTTGTTAGGAAATCTTTAAAGGAAGGGCCTAAAGCAATTAATTAAATAATTGAAGAACTAATGGAGGAGTAATTAGAGAAAAAATTAGTAACTTTAGGGACCAAAATTAAGTAACTTTTGAGAGAGATTTTTCTCCCTTTTGCTGAAACTTTCAGCTCAATAATTGAGTGTAATGAATGCATGTGTAGCGTCCTTAACCTAATTCCTTACAAAAACTTCGTATAACTTAGCCATTTTAGTTCTAGAAAACTCAATTAATCACAAAATATCACTTAAGACCGTTAAAACCTCATATTAGAAAGATTATGATTTTTTTTTGGGCGGCGGGTTACACGGCCTCCAACACGATCGTGTACTTGCCCATATAACTTAAAACTCATTTTTCCTTAAAACTAGAAGGTTACACGGCCTTCCACACGGGCGTGTACCTTTCCGTGTACATTTCGCCCAAAACAAGGGTTTTTCAGCCATAACACTTCAAACCTAATCAACAACATTATTTCCACTTATAAGCCTTGGATATTCAATCAAAATCATTTTTTCTTTGTTCATAAACACATCACAAAACACCTTCGGGAGTTCATATTTACATAGTTATATATACAATTCAAAAATCTCATAGGATGCATATGCTCGGCATAATGAGAGAGAGGAGAAGGAGATCGCCAGTCGACTCGTCACCCATGACGTGAATTGAACAACAAAAGATGACGTGTAATTGCATTTTTAATGAGATGCTACTCAATGAGAGAA